ATACTGTTATCAGAACTTTTTCACATAGCGATCTATTATTTACACTCTCTGGAAAATCTCTCCTTGTTCGTTTTTTTCAGTTGTTAATTAAAAAAAAATTTTTTTCAACTTGACAAACAATAGATAAACAAAAATTCACTTAGTTTCTATCCTCTATCAGGCATGGGATATTTTGTCTTTTTTTCAAAGATAAATTCAATGTATTTGCAATTTGAGTTTTTTATTAGTGCCGTGACTTTTTGAATTTAACAATTTCTACTAGATTGAAGTCTATTTCCCACACAAATTTAAATTAAATAGCTAAATGTATACACCATTTTAACAATACATTTTTTTCACAAGTCCGTAGTGAAACTCCCTTCCATTTATTTGCTTTCCTTATCACCTACAATCTTCAAAATATTTAAATCCATTAACAATAATTTTTTGATCTTCTTGAAGTCCTGTTAAATTTTTAAATTTTCCTTTAATTCAGTCATTCTCTCATTTCATTTTTCTTATTATATACTAATGGTATTCCTCAGTTGTGGACTGTCTTGGTTAAAAAAAAAAAAACCTTTGTCAATTTTATAATTTGATTCAAAATTGAAAAAAAAAATGAAAATAAAAATTTTTTATTGTGTATTAGCTTAATATCAATAATCAATAACTTTGTTGGTAATAAATGAAAAAAACTTTTAAGAAAAATACATATAATTGCAACCATCAGCGTTATTGAAGTATTAAAAAATAAAAAAAAATTAATTCCCAAATTTTCCTCAAACTGCCTATTATAATGATTTTTACAGTATTCATTACTTATTTATGGAATAAAAATGTACCCATTATATCCATAGGTATGTTATAAACATTTAAAAACCTTTCTTGCATTTAAAAGTAGGAATTTTTTTTTCATTGGTTGATTCAAATCTGCAACATCTTATTTAGGGCCAAATTCAAGTACATTTTTTTTTTCAATTCCTTTAATCCCCAGACTAATACCCCTATGTTTAAATAATTTTTAATCAAATGCATGCTGATTAAATAATAAATTCCTGACATAAACACTTTCATGACAGTGGTTTTTTTATTTAATTGTGATTCACCAGTTAAACTTGAGACTGTCTATAGAGTTGCAGGAGATTCAATAGATAAATGGTTCAATTAACCATGCTCATGTCATTTTATTCATATATATCCATCTCTTCCTATTTTTCAATATATTTTTGTGTATATTTTAGACTCACCACTGAAAGTGAGATTAATTTATTTTCATTTTGTTTAATATTAATTCTGATGTAAAATTTATATTTGCCTGATATATGTAATTTGTCTTTTTTTGATATACAGGCTATATCACTTTTCTGTCAAAAAATAATATAGATTTATAAAGCTATTATATTTAATGAATATGCATACATTTTCAAGTGAACATTTTTTTAGAGTCATGGCATAAATACATGACTTATGGAATTTATTGACAAAGGAAAAACAAAAATTAAATTACAACATTTATGAATAACAGTCCAAAATGTTAAAACAAATATTTCCGGCTTTAATAACATTTTAAAACATTTTGAAATTCCGAAAAAGATGCTGGTTATTTGGTTTAATTTCGCAAAAATGCCCTTGAAAAGTATGAATCCATCTTTTCTCTTCCAAAATGGGTTAAAATGATAAACTGTCTGTCAGCATAATAAAACTCAAATAGTCTTCTAAAAAGGAAGATCTTGAAAAAATCGTGGAAAGAAACTCTGCATCCACTCTGATAAAGATGTTTAAAAATTTTCCAATTTGTAAACCCTTTCCAAAAAAAACATGGAGAGCCATGGTAATTTATCGCTTTTTTCATGGAATGTGTTTAAAAAGCAAAATGTATTTTTTAGAATGTGTTAATTTTGATTTACTAAAATAAATTTGTAAAATTCCATCTACACATTTGGCACTACAAAACATAAATATGGGAAACACAATCAAATATTATTGTCTATATATTGATAAATATATATATATACATGACACATAAGTATTGGATACATGTTATTTTCTGTTATAACTCTAGTTTATGTTCGCCATTTTGCCTGATATTTGGTAAGTAATATCTCGTAAAGTTGTTTTAGTTGTATGTGGAAGGAAAATTAAAAACTCATGGTTGAATCCATTTTTTTTTTTCAAAGTTCAAAATTACCCTATGCAAAAGTATTGGATACATCAATTTAATATTTTGTTGCATAGCCTCTGTTTTGTTTCACTGCTTCCAGTCGCTTTCTATAGTTGGCCACAAGTTTTCCACACTGATCCACCGTTACTTTACCCCATTCTTCCTTGCATAATTCCTCTAATTGCTTGATATTTTGTGGATTCCGCTTATGAACTTTAACCTTCAAAGTATTCCACAAATTCTCAATTGGATTCAAGTCAGGAGACTGACTTGGCCAATTGAGAGTACTAATACCATTATTTTCAAACCATTCCTTTGTAAGTTTTGTGGTATGTTTGGGATCATTGTCGTGTTGAAGCACAAAATTCCGACCATGTCCTAAAGAAGTTGCAGATTTCTGAAGGTTCTTCTCTAGAATCTCCCTGTACATGCTACCATTCATTCTACCATGGATAACTTGTAACTCACCAGTGCCCTTGGATGAAAAGCATCCCCATATCATAATGGAAGCACCCCCAAACTTAACTGTGTGGATGGTATTGTGCTTGTTGAAGGCAGTGCCATTTTTTTGCCAAACACTTGTTGCTGTGTTCCTTCCGAATAGTTCAACTTTTGTTTCATCCAACCAGATTACCTTTTCCCAAAACTGCATACCTTTTTTTTTTTCATAAGTTTCAACAAACTTTAATCAGTCTTTGACATGTTTGGTTTTCAGTAAAGGCACTTTTCTTGGTGATCTTGAATGAAAGCCTGTACAATATAGAGCTCTGCTAATGGTATCCTTACTTACATTAATTCCAGCACCCTCAAGATCAGTTTTAATTTCAGAACGAGTAATGAAGGTTTTTTTGCACATTTCTGCTGATCCACCTTGAAGTACTCTCATTTATTTTTCTCGGTCTTCCATTTCTTGGAAGGTTTTGCTGTACCGTCGCCATATACTTTCTGATGATATTTCCTACTGTACTTAGTGCTAGATTCATTTCTTTGCTAATTTTTTTGGTAACCTTGTCCTCCTTTGTGACGTTCAATGATTCTATCTCGTATATCTCTGGATAATTCTTTTAGTTTTTGCCATTTTTAATCCTTGAATTGCAGAATGCACATCAAAGAGTCAGATGATTAGTAGCACTATCTTGTAAACAATTGTAAACAATTGTCAGAGATAACATTCCAATGATTGGTCAGAGATAACATTCCAATACTATCGAAAATTTGAATATTTAAAGTCTTTTAAAATACAAAGTTTCGATTGGAAATTTGAAAAAAAAATGTCATGTATCCAATACTTTTTGCATAGGGTAATTTTTGAACTTTGATAAAAAAAAAATGGATTCAACCATGAGTTTTTTATTTTCCTTCCACATACAACTAAAACAACTTTACGAGATATTATAACTTACCAAATATCAGGCAAAATGGCGAACATAAAACAAACAGTATTTAGTTATAAAAGGTTTTTTGTGACAGAAAATAACATGTATTCGAAAAGTATTTATCTAAACTAAACATAAAATTTGTCACAACTACATGCAAAACAATCAAAGACTTAATCAATAAAAAACAAAACAACCAACCAAAACCTGAAGGAGGAATTTACTCTATCAAATACAGGAATTACCAGAATGAATAGATTGGAGAAATCTCAAGAAGTGTAAACAAGAGACCATATGAACGCAAAAAGGAACATTTTAAATAACATACAAAATGCATTGGTTGTTCACTGTAAACAAAATAGAACACAATTTTGACAGGGAATGCTACTCTGCTTAAAAGAGAAAATAGTCTACCAAGACAAAAATGTCTGGAAAGTGCCTTGACCACGAGTTCAGCCACAATAAATTTGCATCCAGGCACTTACAATATATCACCATTCTTGGTAGATTTTATATTGTCACAGTGTGAGATAGTCAGGGACAAAAATGATGGAGCGAAAAAGTATACAGGTGATTTCAGCTAGATTGAGAAAAAAAAAAAAAAATTCTCTCAAAAATTTTAAAACTACCTGTGTCTCTTATTCTATGTGCATGTGTAGACGTGATAATGTCAACAAAGTCCAGTCCGATCATAACGGATGAAACCCGTCACAAAAAACCTTTCCACTTTGTCATATTTTTCTACATTACACACACATTATATATATATATATATATATATAAGCACAAATGTTAATTCAAACATGATCATAATCAAAATGATGACAAAAAGCAACTTTTTTTTTTTTTCAGTTCTGTTGTGAACCTTGGAGTAAAGTTTATGGTTAGTCACATGACTACATGGTAACAAAATGGCTGCAAAACCATTTTTCAAATATGTTTTATTCTTTATGAAAAGAAAAAAATCATTATGGTTTTTACAATTTTGAAAACAGATAATTTAATGTTTTCAAAAATGGTTAATTAAAGAAAATAGTAAAAGAATACAATGGAAAAAAAACAGGTACCACAAAATATAGGTAAAAAATTTGAATACCTGCTAAGCCTTGTGGGTGGGGTCAAATCTTCTCCCTGAGGTTTGACAAAAGAATCTGTGAGTTTAGAATCAGCATGCTTGTTTTTCTTTTTGGATGGGGTCTTCCTCATAAAATTACAACCCACCATGCATTTATCAGCAAGAGGCACCTGGCTTTTTGTATCTCCCTGAGCCAAGCTCATTGCTTCACATTCAACAAGGTCTGCCATTGGAAAGCTGTTTTGCTTTTGAGATGCAAGTAACTTTGAAGGCATTGAAGAGGACAGTGTGTCTCCAGAGTTCTCCAAGTGAAGGCTCATTCTGTTGAAGTTGTGTAATATTGTCTCATCAAGGCTGGATTTTCTATGACATCCTGGCTTCATATCAGCCCCAGGGGATGAGAACTGACCAGTAGATGATGTGCGACGCTTGTGCAGAAAGGCATTGCGAGATGAGTTGAGAAGAGAAATGCTGGAAAGGGATTTTTTTGGCCATTTTCTTTTATAATGAGTCAAGGCAATGTGCAGGGTATCTTCACGTTCCTGTCCTCGAAGAAAGTCAGGGAAATCACACACCTGGAAAACAAACAGCTTTGGCAATAAAGAAATGATCTCTGAATGCAAAAACAGCAATCTCTAGAAAACAGCTTACCATATATACATGTGTACAAGCAGATCTAAATATAATCCTGTTGTATCCTTAAAGAAGATTAGAAACAGATAAGGGTGGTACTCGAGTGAAAGGAACAGCAACACAGGCATAGATGAAAGAAAGAGAGGTTTATTGTAAACGAGAATACACTACTGAAAGACAGGGAATTGGTTAGCAGGCTTGTAATTCCCAAAGCAAGTCCCCAGGTATATCCTGCGCACACTATAAAGATATATATATCTACCAATACAGTCAGTCTACAAAGGCGATAGAGAGTGTGGGACATTCCATTACAACAAATCTGAACCCATTCAGATCTTGCAGTTTTGTAAATTCCCACAAAATTTTAATATTTTGATATCTAAAATGTTTTTAAAGATTACCTAGAGCAGGGTTTTTCAAACTGTGTGTCCCAACTCTTCTGTGGATCGCAAGAAATATAAACTGGGTTGCAACAAAAAATTTTTTAAAAAATATACAAGTGAGAGTAAAGTGCAGAATATAAACAACTCTAAATATTGCAGAGTATTCATAAACCATCACCAGTTTTTCACTGAGGTAAAGCATATTATATTTTAAGTATAATTTTATATATATATATATATATATATATATATATATATATATATATATATATATATATATTTCAATATAATCTTTCCACTTTGTCAACTTTCTTTTTGACTGAAAAAGTCACTTTAAGAAGAAAAAAGGAATGTCTACCTGAAAAGAATTTAATATGTAAGGATTTTCTCTGAATAAATTTATCTTACTTAATCATTAGCCTTATTTGACAGAGTGAAAAAACAACATTGCATACAATTCACAATCATTCCAGTCAGCATATATTTCAATCAGGAATTCAGCGAAATCATTAAAAGAAAAGTGACATTTTTTTATATATCAAAAATAAGAGAGTTTATTCACACTCCCTTTTTTTCTTTTTTGTTTAGCTCAGAAATTCTGAATTTTTTTTATACACACGCCCCATAAATCATTAGGGTCATTGGGACACCACATGTATTGCAGTCATAACAGCATTAGGTGTTTTTCAAGTAAGGTCTCCTGACAGAATCCATCACTCTTCAGGCTGGTCTTGAATTTGTCCTTCTAAACAGGTTATCAACAATAGCTAGAGAGCCCAGTCTACTCTACTATTAAACCCATAGCTGGGGAGAGGGAGAAGAGATGGATTTATACCTTTCTTAAGGCTATTTGTGTGAAAGTGAATGCAATGAACTAGGTCAGAGTTCAAATTTGGCTTGCTGATTTCTTTTTCCAAGCTGTGAACTGTTACATCATCTCCACATTCAGAAAACATTTGAGTTCATACTAAATATCTATATTGATATATTTTTGTGTGAACTGAAAATTGTTCTTTTGTGGATTTTTGTCAGAATTCTAATTCTTTAATTCAAATGTAAGTGCTCACTTTGATATCCACAGCCCACATGACAAAAACAGACTAATTTTGTCCAGCTACACAAACACCCACCTACTTCCTGAATACCACCCAAAATAACCTTGGTCTGACCAATCAGGAAAAGACCACTGTTTTTGCAGCACTGTTTCTTAACCACCGACTTACTCTAAAGCCAATACCAATTCCAACCATGGGGACAGATCCAACTCGGCTGGCATTAATGAGAGAGAGTAATACAAATGCAGAAGGATGTACACTTAAGTCTTAGAGATTATGCAAAAGCATTTGACAAAGTACAGCACTCGATCCATTTGGAAAAGATTTTAGAATAATCCAGAACTTATACTGCGAGCAAACTGCCTGAATACAAATGAGAAATGAACTGAGTAACTACACAAAAATAGAAAGGGGCATGAGACAAGGATATGTCTTCTCCCCAGAGAACCAGAGACTCCCACCAGGATTTATTATCAGTGGATGTAATCAATACAAGATATACAAATGACACTTGTTGATATCTCACATAGAAAGAACACTACAGGACCTCCTAGACAGGGTAGTAGCAGAAAACGAGAAGAAAGAACTAAACATCAACAGCAAGAAAACAAAAATTATGGTGATCAGCAAGAGAAAAAAAAAATCCAAGATGTGAGTTACAAATTGGAGATGTCAACATCAAATAGGTGCAGATGTTTAAATATGTTTGGTCAGAGGGTGGAAAATGCACCACCAACATCCGAACACTCGTTGGACAAGTAAAGGAAGCATTCTAAAAGCTAAACAAGCTGCTGAGAAACAGAAAAATTTTGTTAGAAACAAAGAAAAGAGTGTTGGACAATCTCCCCATGGATGAGGAGAAAACTGGAGGTAGCAGAAATGTTGTTCTGCAGAAAGATACTAAGAATTCCATGGACGGTGTGAAGAAGCAACCAAGAAGTCTTAAAGAATGGCAACAGAAAGAACATATACTCAGAATCAGGAAAAGACAGCTGAAATTCCTTGGACACAAAATGAGGAAGGAAGGCTAGGAAAACTTAACCCTCACAAGGCAGATTGAGGGAAAGAGAGATAGGGGAAGGCAACCAGTCACTTACCTGATAAGCTTGTGTGAATGGATGGTGGAACAGTGGTAGGGGGTGCCTTAGCAAAGGGAGAAAATCTGTTATGGGCCACATGGTATAGGAAGTTGATCAGTTTTGTTCTGAAGGAATGTGACATACAGATCAAAACTTTGTAGGTTATTTAAAACAAAACATATTTTGAACTGTAAGAATTATTTTTTTTGTGTATGTATATCGCATTAACAACTTTTGATAATACCAGTGGTCTTTCCAGTTGTACAATTAAAACTATGCACCTCCAACAAAACACACACACAAAAAAAAGAAGAAAAAAAACACACCATACCTAAGGTTTAAAATGAATTTTTAAAAATGAAAAATTTTTCTTGAAGCTTTTATTTTAGTTTTAATTTCAAGCTAATAGATTAAATTTAATGTTTCCAATAAGCAAAATACTTTACTGTATTTAAAAAAAAAAAAAAAATTTTAAATAGACTGGGAGGAGTTTTTTTTTTTTTTTGCTGAAATAGCTGATTAGTCTTCTTTCATCACAATGTAATTGGCTTTATTAAAAAAATCTTCCAAAAATAAAACATACTTTTCTGAAACTTTATTTGAGGAATATTAGCTGATTTAAAGTATAATTAATCTGATTTGAAAAAATAAAACTGTTATTTACTTTAAGTTTAAAATATGAAATTTTTTTTTAACCCAACAGTAGCTGTTTAATTAAGGTGAGCATGGGTTTGACAGCTTGATGATAGATTGCTATATATCTAATGCTGTTCTTTGGGGGGGTCTAGGCATTAAAAAAAAACATTGAATTAACATGAGTGCCTTCTACATATAATTTTTAAATTCGAAGCAATTGTAAAAATTTAAGAAAATATTCTCCATAATCTAATGTTTTATTGAATTTTAAATATTTTTTTGCTGTAAATTTATTATAGTTATTGCTCTTATTTTCTGATAATGTCATGTATGATTGACCATATAATAGTAAATCAGCATGTTTATACATATAAAAAAAATTCAAATAACTATCACCTAATTGGTGCAGAAATTTAAAAGATTTAAAATTAAAGGAAAAAAAAAAAAAAAGAAAAACGATTCTTGTAAAACTTCATTATTTATTGAAAAAAGAATTTTCTTCAGAAAATAGTATACATAATATAACTTATTCATAAAAACAATTAAAAGCTTTTCTAATTAAATAATGTTATTGTTTGATTGCATTTTTTATTTTGTGATTCATAGCAAATTTTCGGTGAATGAGCCACTATTTGAAAAAAAAAAAAAAAAAAAAAAAAAATTTGATTTACATTCTCCAAGGAGTCCTGCTTGTAAATATTATAAAGTTAGACAATTTAATTTCTCAAAATGTTATTAAGTAAAGTGGGAGTAACAGATGTAAAAAAAAAAAAAAAAAAAAAATTCTAAAATAATTTCATTCATTTGTGAATAAGTCCTGAAAGTTTCATTAAAATCTGACAATTATTTAATTTTTGCAAGAATTTCGAAATCAATGTTTTTTTTTTACTGGAAAAAAGGCACTAAATTTCCTAATACTGATCTTTGCTGTCCCCATTGGTGCAAGAAAAAGATTTTTAATCAAAATTTCTAACATGCTAGAAAGTATTCAAAAATTTAATAAAAAAAATACTTTGGTGTTTCCTTTTAATAATAAAACTTTGCTTTTTTCAAGTTTGGAGCATTTGCTATGCTCTTTTTTCAACAAATTCATGAACATACCTCTATTAAACCCATTTGCATGTAAGTGAATGTAATGAATGCAAATGTAATTTGAACTCAGGTTGATAATTTCTCATTCTGAACAGCTATCCATTACACTACATGGAGTAAGATTAATGATGACTGTAAATGAATAACATTTGGACTATTTATCACAAAAGACACTAGACATTATCAACCAACAAAAGGTCACTTAGCTTTGACCCACAAGGGCATATGAGATGTGGTTTCTTTTTCAAGGTGTCCATTTAAAATTTGGGGATAAAGAGAAATATGTTCTTTTTTATTTGCTAATCAAATTAGCGGGTTACATTGAGCAACAGATAAAGATAATCAACTTTTCTTACAATTTTTTAGACAAAGAATTAACATCATTTACATGCAGACTATTGTCTCCATCTTTGTAGTTATTATCACAGAGTTGAAGTACATGCTGCACAGTCCAGGGATTGAACTCATAATTACTATGTCACCAAATCCACGAACCAATGCTGTAATCCACTAGGCTATATGATGAAATCTAGTAGGCACAATGGCCAAAACATTATAACAACAACAAAGATGAAGACAATAGGCTGCATGCAAATAATAACTCTTTATTCCAGAAATTCAAACAGAATTATTACAAAGCCACCTCTTCTCCCTCAAGCTAAGGGTTAAATAGTAAGATTTGTATCTAGAAAAAAAA